GAAAAGAAAAGATCCATCAGCAGAAGTCTCACACGTGTTTCCTAAAAAACCGTTGAATGAAGGTGGAGATATTAAGGACACAAGCAAAGTGGTTACCAGAGATGTTCTGCTCATGAGCGTCCATAACTCCTCAGCGATTTGAGCTGTATTACACGGGTTGGTTGGACCAGTGTCCGTACTAAAAACGCTCCAAAATATCCGAAAAGAAGGCTTTCACTGCAAAAAGTGAAGACAGAGTCTTACCATTCATGGGTGGTAAACGGCGGGAAGAGCGCGAGCTCCGTGGCAATGTGAAGCCGAATGGCAGGGTCAGAGTCTTGGGCTAGCATAGTTAGTAACCTCATCAAATCGTTCGTCGACTGCTTCTTTCTGGACAGAGATAGCCTCTGCACAATGATGTGAAGGGCGACTTTCCGCATCTGAAAAGTATGGAACATTACCCTGATAACAACATCAGACATTCCCAAGCTGCACAAGCACGATGTCTACTTCGCTGGTGTAGTTCCGGTCTTTATAACCGCATATGCCTATAAGATACCGCAATACGAAGCTTCCGGAAATACTGCCTCGTTCAAATGGCAATTTCAAGCTTCCGCTGCCCAACATATGAAACGGTCGCATTCTTTGATTCATGATTATTTCCAACAAGCGGATGATTTACTTCTACAGGAGTTACTAACAAACGAGTAAATCACGCTCACTGGTAGTATGGGACAGAAATGAGTGCAACTGTTCTAGCATTTCGCCTACCGTGACCCATGTGATGAATTGTGAGGGGCAGCTGATGTGCGAATCTGTGTCTTTTATCCCTCTTTTCTCCCGCAGATAAAACTCGTACTAATTAATCGACCCAGTGGGACGGAAGGGCTGAACGACCAGCCACACCACAGTCTTGGTTTGCTTTGTTGACTAGCTCATGACGCGAAAATGATAACCAAGGTGCTGAGTTGTGGATAAAACAAGTAATCACAGCCCGTCATCATGAATAAAAGGAAAAGCTCCCGGTCGCTCCCACTCACCACAGTGACATAATGAGCGCACTATGATCTATGCGATGAATTGTGTGTAGTAACTGATAAGCAATTCTGTGTTTTTATCCCGCACACAAAACGCATACTAATTAATCGAGCCAGTGGGATGGAAGGAGCTGCTGGCCCGAGCGGGAGCCCATCCCAGACTCTGGCCGCTACCTTCGCCCTCAGCCTCAAATGGTGAAAACACATAATTGGGCGCTGTTTGAGTTAGAGGGGGGGGAGGGCATTTTGCGTTTTCGCCAATACATTTTGTTCATGTAAACTGCTAGCTATCCCTCTGGAGACCTGTGAACTCTTGCGGGACTGCGAAACGGCCACAGACCAATGAGAATGACAGAAATACCAAATTCATAGAAACTAACGTTGACACAAAGTTTCGGCGCAGCAAAAATCCAGAATATTTTCGAGTCAGATGGTATGTGGCCATTGCGTTGCAGCTGAAAGAAATTCAAGATGAAGAAGGCTGCAGTTGGACAGAAGCATCATGTGAAGTAAGTTTAATACTTACGTGATGGATCACGTTCAATGCTGCCACGCCTACCACATGTCGAAAAGACGGCTTTATCGTGTCCAGATTTAGTGCGTGAGTTGTTTCCTGAAAACAAAAACTAAACCTTGAAAAACTTTTAAAAACGCCAGTATGAGGAGAAAACTTCAGATCCTCACTTCTACAACTTCATTCATCTCCCAACTCAAAGCGTCTGGGATATAATTACCACCACCTAGTGTATTGACAGGTGCTACACAGGCGGCCAAGGCGTTCAGAAGGGATGCACGGTAATGATCATCAGAATATCTGAAATACTCTTGGCTGTGGGCCTACTCATTCCAGGAACGACACTTGCAAATCCCACCTGTTTATTGAATTGTCGTTGTAACGTATATAGTCAACAATGAAACACTGTACTTCTTGTAAAGCCATACCATTGGTTCTCATCCGAGCCAAAGCCTGTGGGAGAGCCTAAAATCAGACGTAAAGGATAAAGTCTTCGCCGTTGATCAATCCCTTTGTGGGATGCGGCACGCATTCTACTTCCATTCAGAATCGTAGTGGCTTATTGAATGCGATGTGGCCTATACAATGACTTGCGGTGGCCAGCCGATGTACAAGTCAGTGTTTTATCCTCCCAGACGAATCTGGTACCAATTTACCGTCCCCGGAGGGTAGAAGGCTTGGTTGGCCTGGGCGGGTGTCGACCCGGGATTTGAACCCAGGACCGCGCGAGTGGTCAGCGCGCCACTTTCACTACACCACCTCCTGCCCAAAATCAGACGTACCTACCAGAAGATCAAAAAAAGTTTCTCATTTAGAACAGAACATGAGTGCAACGTCTCCATAACAAAATGTAAACCTCGCACCTGTTGAAGGAAATATTGTTGGAGATTCTGAGAAGTAACAACAAAATTGTTGGACTTTGGAATAGACGGACATGATTTAGCACCGTAAGTTTTCCTGAAACATTTCTCAGGTAAAGGTTCACAGCGACTGCACGGAAGCAACGGGACAATGATTGGGAGCAACTCTGACCTGTACAGGCTCAAAAGAGCTGGCACTCCTGACCACGTTTCAGGCATCTTATTCAACACTTCTGTAAGAGCGTACGCAGCATGACACCGCACACTAAAGTATCAGGCTGGCCTCAGGAACATGTTATGCAAAGTAGATGAGATTGAGTGAAGAGGGAGTAAAGGATGGAAACAAAAGACGAGGCAGAAATGAACTCACCGGTAGAAAAAGTTCTCGTTAGAAATGGTTTCCAACAGCACATCACGACTTTGAGGATTAGGACAGAGCTGTAGTCGTTCTAGCGCCTGTATGGAGTGAAATTTTTACTCTCATTACTTCTCATATAAAACATTATTGAATCAGCACGATAGGATGAAATGAAGTTCTCTATGCATCTGGATATAAACAGAAAGCGATGAACAGGTCATCTTCCACGCCAAATCGTTTCGTTGAAAAAACACCAATTTCTGTAGGCCAACACAACACTAAAACGAACCTGAAGTTGAGCAAGCACATCGCGTTCGTATCGCAGCATATACTCCCACTGGTAGTCCGGTTGGTTGATCATAAGATTACGGATGAGATGAAGCTCAGGGTCGAGCCTTGAACTCAATACGTGAGCAACACGAAAGGTAAGATTGCTAGTTGAAACCGACCTTATCCACAAAACGGGAGAATCCGGATCCATGTTGCTCAAATCCCTCCACGTCGTCTCCGGAGTACAACGGCACACGTTTCTGAACCGGAAGATGAGCATTGTGGATAGAGCTAAGGAATAGAGTTACAGGAATTGCCAAATAAGAAAAAGCGGAAACTGCTCTTCTTAGAAAAACGGTCAATACGCTTTGATTACTAATGCATAAAATTTAACTCTCATAAAAACTACCTTCCGGAGGCCCCACTCCCCGTACTGAATACGAGAGGCCGAATGGCCCCTACTCTTCCGCTTCTCACGCCCAAGAATAAGGAGCAAGGCACGGAGCCACACTGTTTTCATGGCTTCCGCCGATCTGATAGTTCCGAACGATATCACCAGGTTAGCCCTGGGTACGTGGAAGCCAGCGTCTACTAAGGAGGGCACCAGACAGAATGAGAATCCTCAAACTTGACCCTTCAGGACCCCCTTCAAGACTAAAAAAAGCCGTAAGGATTTTATATACGTTCGAATTATGATTCCTCAACCCTTGCGCTTTCCGGCTTTCCGGCAGTTCCGGCTTTGCTCACCTTCCTACTCCATCTATCAGCAACCAACCTTTTTCTGCCGACGACCTTTAGAATGGCATTGAAGATCAGCTCGTGAAATATCGCCGTCAATTTGGACAGTATGTGAAAACGAACCATCCAGTTCTTGCACCAAAACCGTCAACGGACCGACGTATCTGCAGTGATTACAAGCATATGATCACAGAAAACAGCTTCGAAGGAAATATGTGATCTACGCCAGCATGTGAAACATACCTCAATCGACGATTCCAGTTCAACTTCTTTGTCTTCATTCCTATCTCATCATATACGTTTACGGTTGAAAGCATCATGCACGGCTGAAATGAGAAAACTGGGCCACATTCTTCTGAGTAAGGTTAAGAGACGTACACGAAAAGAGGCATGTCCTCCATTATAAATCCATTGTTCCATAAAAGTAGGGATTTCTTGTCCAGTAACGTTTGTCACCGGTCTGAGGAAATCCAGGTGGATTTACAAGATGGGTCCAGTAACTGTCTATTCCGTCGCTCGGTCTCTTCTGTTGTCCAACAGAAAGGATTTATGCAACACCTGAAAATGGACGACGTCATATATTCATACTATCAACAAGTATTATGTTATAGTTCTACAACGGATTTGGAAATCCTACTACATATTTCAGTGAGGCAAAGTATTACACTAAAATATGAATTCATGCTTTTCATTTTTAGCAGCTGCCCTTTGTGTCGTGATAACGGCACTTTGAAAAACATTTGCGGCTTCACGCAATCCCATCGCCGACCCAGCTTTTCAGGTGTTTTTCTCAGGCAACGGTCATTACTTTGGAATACGGTGACTAAAGTTTGGCCTAAGTGCGTGCTTCCATTCGAGGACCAGACAATCCCAGAAAGTTAGTGGTCAGTGGTTATACAACGCCTTAGGGTAGAAATGTTCAAGGGGATTTAGTGCTGCCATTTCGTCTGTTTCAGGGTGGAGATAAGAGTCTATAGGTCCAACATTATCCGCGGTGACCCGCGCGAGGAAATATGACGCTTCAGAGTAAATAGAGCTCGTAGAAATAGATTTACGTGGACACAGGAGAGACGTTAGTCATTTCTCCCTTTCACTCAACTAAGTTTAACCAACCAGTTTCAGTAGGAAACTAGGAAGCGCCGCACGGCATTACTGGTATATGAGAGAGCCTGCCAAGACAACGACGCGCAAAGATCGTTCACAAAACCAGTCGAATCGGGGGAGAAATTTGTGACCGCCTCCTGAGCATTGCTAATGACAAGAAGCTCGCCCAGATCGTAGCCGTTTGTCAGATAGTATTCTTCCACAGTTGTTTTGTGGACAAGAGCAAAACAAGTCGCCTATACGATTTCAACTAATGGCACTCCATTCAGATAAGCATAAATCAGGTTCAAAAATTATCGAGCGAAAATGCGTATAACTGGTCTTCCTGGGTCTCAGTTGGTCCTCCGGGGTTTCTTTTACCGATAACAGAAGTTCTGGGATGATCTGCGCTATACTTTGTAAAAGTTCACAATGGTTGAATTACTACAGAGGCAACAATACACAGGATTGCCCTACAGCCACAATTACAAAAATAGAAAGAAAATCGGGCAAAAGTACCTGAAAATAAGGTTCGTGTCCTAATCTCTTGCTAAGCATCCGCATAGCCAAATGGCCTTTCTTAGTTTGATTTTCTACATAGAGAGGAGAACAAGTGTGCTCGCATCGAGGCTCACAATGCAAATTCAGGCGAGGGGATCCTTCACTTGAAGGTCGAAGAACGATCTAAAACGACTCTTTTTGCATCTCATAAAACGTGGCATTCGAAGAAAATAAATGCAACAAACATCACGAGACCTGCCTTCCGCCCCACTGGGATTCATAATCGCATACGGCATTCAAAAGTTTCTTTACATGAAACAGATATTCACTTGTACCAAAGATCTTTTCGATGTAGAGGGAGGTGATAAATCTTAAAACGTTAGAAATTACACTACACAACAAAATACTATAGAGAGAGCACTGGTCCACAGGTATGAAGGGGCGTGTAGGGCAGGATGGGTATGATGGCTTCGCGCCAAACCTACCCCGCCAGTTATTGAAGGGAGCGAACGACATGATTATATCATATTTTATATCTCGTTATCATTAGTTTCACACCAATTGTTGCCGCTTACCCGCTTCAGGAAACGGATGGGGGACGGGTATGACGCCACCGTCAAACGCATACTGCCTGACACGCCTTTCATCTGCAGCGAAACAAGACTGCACAGTGCTTCTCCATTAGATGATAACCTGCCTGGATAATGATCGCACAAGCCAAGAATCCAAGAAATGGGCGGGTGATATGAAGCAACCAAAAAACTGTTGCGAGACACCCAAAGCAAGAGTTTGCCTGCATTCCTTGAATGAAAATTTCTTTTCCGGAGCTATTCCATAGACTTATAATTTTAGAATACCTGTACTACATCGATGATCTTCTTGTGATGGAGAGTACTTATCGAAAAAAGAGTCATGCTACTGTAAGATGTCACATCATCAGGGATCTATAAAGTTAGTAAATGACTGTCAGAATAGGAGCTGAAGGTCTACTATAGAATGACGGGAAATATGATATTTACCATATCTACGAATACTTGCTTGTAGGTAGGATAGGGGAATCGGCAAGAGAGTAGTTCTTCGAAGTATTCCAATATTTTATCCAATGGCGCGACAGTGTGCTTCAGCAGAGACAACAGTCCAACAGGAGCAAAGTTGGTCACCTTAAAACCAGAAAAATGCGTACTTAAAGGCACAGTTCGCGACCGCAAATTGCGGGAAACGGAACTCAAATAGGCACAAAAAAGTGCTAAGTATCTGATTAGCGGAGAAAAGCAGCAGAAAAAGCAGTCCGAAATGTTATAGAGAAAGATAACATAGTGGCTACTAGCTAGTAGCTAGCAGCCGGTGAGGGTCGGCATGGGCCTAAGGGGTGTCCATGGGCCTAATTAGTCAGCTTCTAGCGGAGTTCTTGCCGTTTTTCACATTTTGAAAGTAGCGCAGCCTCAAAAATCGCCTTCCGGATCGTCCGACACATTTGAGAGGTCATAGCCTTATTTTTCGCGGAATGTGCCTTTAAAGGCACACCGCGCCGCTTTTTTATTTGATGTTGAAGAGCTTTGTTTTGGGGTGTAAGTCCACAAGTCATGGAGGATTGCACACAATTCGCAGCTAAACTATTGAAGCAAGCGGCGACCCGCTCATGAAGGAACCAGTGACCCGCCTAGTGAACACCGCAACGCCCAACTTCCGCAATCTAAAGCCTTCCTGTTGATGCGGTTGTTCCACTACTAGCTGTCTCTGTTTTGAATGAAGCGAGCGAGGCAACCAGGAGAAAGAGCTGATATCCACTCGTCCCACCACGTCACTTCTTCGCCCTATGCATATACAAGCGCAGTTGGTTATGCGGTTCTATATAGAACATTTTAAGCGTGTTTTTTTTCTGCTTTTTTCACTTTTGTGTCTTTTCCATCCTGTCATCAGTAGTTGAGCTGCACAACTCCTTGTTATCGAACCAGGGTAGGTCTTTAAGAAGATTCCTCTGCGATCTTCCGGATCGAAGGGGCAATTAAAAGCTAAAGCAAAGAAACTAAACAGCAATGTGTTATAAATAGACCTCGGCCATATCTGGAAGAGTATATGTTGAAAACTGCCCGATAGCGAAGCCGATGCTGCACGCTGCTGTAGGGATGAGCTGTTGATAATTCCATGTTCTCAAACGCTTCTCAGGAAGACTATCGAAGCCCTTCAAAATCGTTTCAGCAAAATCGCGACACGTAACAAATTGAATTATCGGGATCAACTTACCACCAGGTCTCCACTGGCCACTGCAGTAAGCCAGCTGTCACAAGTGATGTGCAGACGCCAAAGTGCAAGCTGATCAGGAGCATCAACACATGGGAGCCACTCACGAGTGCCTAAAAACTGGAGATCTGTCCCTGATGCTGGCGAACTGCCGACACAAAACACCATTCACTGTTGCCCTTCTCGAAATTCATGCCATGATGATGACATGATTTTCCTTTCTTTCAGATTTTTCCGAATTCTGCTTCAAGGATAACTTTGTCTAGCTTCCTTGAACGTGAACATCACAAAACTTCTGGCGCCCGTGCTATGGGCTCCAGAGGTAAAGACTAATTTCCCCGCTGGCTGGGCAGCGAGTGCTGAGCCTTTTCTACGTTAAAGGCACATCACGCATTTGCCTAATATGCAGATACCTTCCGAGGCGTTCTGGAAGCACACAACGGGTGTACTACCTTGGCGGCTCGAAAGTACCTTATAAAGAAGCGAGGTGTTCCTGACCAAGGGAATACTTCTCCCACCTACCATTCACTTCTACGCTAAACGTAGGCGTTTTGTGCCATGGCTTTGAGGAGAAGATAAGAGCGGTACGTACGTGCTGGTGGCGCAATTAGCGCCTAAGCGTGGGGTGCGCGTCAAGTCTCGCCTGGGTCAAGAATTCCACCCATAACTCAGCATTTTTAAGGTGACCTTCAAAGCGTGGACTGCAGCCTCAAGGAATCAAGCCGCTTCCTGAGGTGAAATGCCGGCTAAAGCCATCCCTCAGATAGACTTGAACCTGGCACAAATTTCGAAAAATGGAGCAGCAAAGGTAGATGGCACACAACATTCAAATTGTAAGCAAGTCGTACTTGTCAACAAGGAGCTCCTGTAGGTAAAGACGTGAGCTCCTTTATCAAGGGTTCCGTCCGGTGCAATATTATAGACGAACTTTATGCCCTGGAATTCGAAGCTTCTTGTATTTTGAAAGATTTTCACCAAGCGAAGAAAAATTCAGATTGGACTGACTTGAGTAGGCTTCTCTACAACCACATCAACTGCGATTGTAATGCACTTCAACAGCTGGATGGTGAGACGAAGGGCATCAGGTATTGTTATTTGAAGAAATGCTGCAGTACAAACAATATCAGGAGTAAGACAGAATCGTAAGCATAAACGCTACCGTCTTTTTCGTTGATCGAGTTATAGTACTGTGGGAGAGTTTCCATGATCGAAAGGTTGGGACTTTGTGCAGCAAGCTAAATCGTGCTGTTAATTCCCAACTGTGAAAAATGTGAAAAAAGAATTATTTACACACCCGAGTCGGTTGCGTCACGTGGAGTAATACAGTCTGCACGCATTGATAGTTATGCCACGTGGGCCTCCCCAATTCACGTGGCAAGCAAAGCTGAAGCGGAAAATGCAATGTGAAGCTCTTGCAAGATCCCAGAAAAAATAGCATCTTACATGAGCAAGGTGTAAATGAATATTCCTCAAATCCGATGAAAGAGGAAGGGCAGTAATTTCGGTATGGACACGGAAAGATTCATTTATGAACGAAATGTCGGAAATAACTACCTGAAAAAGAGAAACAACTCGAAATTCTCCGAATTTTCGAGAACAGATTTACAGGAGCAAGCAAAAAAAGTAAAGTCTATATTACAAGGATGCTGAGTTTTGGGCAAAAGTCGTGCCGCAGGCGGTAGTCGAAACCCACACCTCACGCTTTCTGGACGAGTGCGCTATCCGTTACCCCACCATGGCCGCTTTCATCCTCTCAGCTTAACGGCTTTTATGAAGTAGCCTTACAGCACTCACATGTTTAACTTGGTGAGCCGGTCAACCGTAATCGTTAGATATCGGCAATGAACCGCGAGGCCGAAGGCTTCACAAGTTTTTGAAGCTGTTTTGTTATGACTTCCGCCTGGGGCACGACTTTTGCCCTTAACTCAGCATTCTTGTGATAACATTCGGAAAGCAAACTGCGGCGTTAAACAGCAGTTACCATAACAAGCAGCTTTAAAGTATCTATTTTTCCTTCCTCACACAACTCTATATATACAATACCGCACCGTTTGCGCCAGAAGGACGCGAAATCTCGCCTCGTACTTCAATACTGGTGCAGCCTGAAGGTACGCGTCTACTTCACGCATTCCTGCCGGCCTTCTCCTTGTTGTCCTTGATTTGGTCGATCTCCCTAAATTAAGCAGGACTTCTTTGGGAGCTTCACCACGGGAGTACACGTAATCCGATGAAGCCTTTATACTGTGGTGCGCATTTGGAGGACACCAATTTCTCTAATGATTGGAGCGAAGTCGTCCTGAGCGCTCCCACCTCTTACGATTGTCGGGGAGGGAGCATTTATTCGGGCGTGAATGGCAAAACTATAATGGTGCCGCACCTTGACTAAGAATGACCCTCGAAAAGAAAATGTCATGAGAAAGAAAATGTTATGAGAAATCACTACGGGAGGGGAGCACAATTTGAATAAGGTTTGCTCCGGGTTATGAACGCGTTCCTGCCCTCAGTGATCAGCTATCATTCTGACAAATTTTTCAGGACATTTGCATCTTGTACGAAGGGTGATACCATAACTGCTGAGACTGCTCGACAGCAGTTTGCCAAGTTTATGAATGGACATTGTGACACAGGCGACATGGGCTGCTAAGGCAGCGTTCAGACTACGCAACGGCAGTGCTTCAATCGCGCGTTTGACGCGATCGATGCAATCGAAAGCATGCGCATCGATCGCCGAATCGCGCGAGAAGCCCTGCCGTCGCAAAGTCTAAACGCTGCCTAAGGCAGGTTATGCAGAAGAAAACGGACGATGCAACCACCGTATTCTGATCTCACCAAGGAATGAAGGTCATTGTACTCACAATAGGAAGGTTCTATAGATTCGGCGAAGTCAGTATGCTACACAAAAGCGCGCTGCCCCACATCTCGAAACGAACCTTGCCTGTTTTTTTTGGTCCGATTGACGAGTGAAACTCTAGCCTCTAAAGTAAAGGTATTTTGCAAGTGGGCGGGACTTTTCAAGGTGGGCGAGGCTAATCACTGCAGTCAAAAATGCGAAAATTTTAAAAAGAAACAAAACTTTGCAAAAAGACGTTGAAGTTAGACTGGTTGAGGGGGAGGAGTCAGTGTGGCAATGCATGAGCGCGTCTAGTGCCTTCGTTGTGTGAAGAGTAGGTGTTAAACCAACGCCTTGAAAAGAAAGATAAAAACTCGAAATTTGCAAACAAAATCCTTGAAAAGTGCTGGAGCACGTCCCTGTGTCAAAAATCTTTCCTTAGTGTAACTTGAGTAAATAGCAAAAGAACAAAAAAGAGTAGCAGAAGCTACAAAATATATCTTTAGGCTTTTGTCCGGAAAGTTTTGAGAAAATTTCACATTTTTAATTTGAAGAAGTGTAGCAAGCGAATGCCCCAGCAGAAAGTCATATTCAAGTGCTATGAGAAGAGAAATGTTTGTAGATTAAACTTAACCAGTCGGATCGCCCGGCTGTCGCCGGGCGCTCCTCCTTCTGTGACATGGCCCGGCGAAGCCGGGCCATGCGGATTTGCCGCGTGCTAAGTTAATCGTTGACCAACCACACTGTTCAAAGGAATTGCATCAGCCAAGAACTGAAAAGCAGCGCTTGTTCCGTCAAGGCGCAGAAGCAGCAGCAGCCCCTCGCCAGCGATCCGACTGGTACGTTCATAACCTACACGGAAATAGTGCAGCCTGTTTGGACAGCTGAAGCAGCCTATAATTTATGCAATCTGTCTTCCTAAAGCGTCTTGCTTTGGAATGCACTACCGCATTCAGCAGTGGAACCCTTTAAATGGCCCTCACTGAAGTTGCTGATGGAAGATAATTGTGGTAAGAGTGATAAAGTCAGTTGCTGCTGTTCATAACAACAAACAATTTCCTTGTACCAAACCACATGCATCTGGAATAGAGCTGGCTTAGCGGTCGTACACGATGTCGTTACTAATAAGCAGTGAGGAATGAGTTCTGTTGGAATCACTGAGATCGTTATACTTGAGTCATATCGATCGCATTGTTGTTGTGAGCGGTGAAGCGGATTTTCCCATGCTACCTTGTCAATTTTAGCTCCTATCACTTCCGTACCCGCCAATAACACTCCCGTCCCGTATCACTATCATATCACCCTGTATCGCCTCTCGGATCAGAGGTCCATGTTGCTGTACCTGCCGTATAGACGAATCTGATGACTCCCTTCCGAGGCCGCTTACCGTATCTTATCAACTGTTATCACTTTCTGTCGCCCGCCAATAATGTTCCCGTCCCACACCCTATATCACCTCACGGATCTGAGTTCCCACTGTTGCTGTAACCTGCGCCACGAATTTGATGACCCTCCTCTTCCGAAGGCCTTATCGGATCTTAT